TGTCCTACAATTTCAGATTCTGGGGAGAGCCGCAAGAAGACCTATTCAGACGATGGGAGATACTGATGGACAAAATTAACAAATGTCTCAACAAGCTGTACGATATTGCTGCCAGGAAAAGACGCAACTACATCCTTGATCAGGTATGGGTGAATATTTTCTTTTATCAGCCATAAACTAACGTTCATCTCTTGCAGGATGTTTTTAATACTGTATCAACACTACTATTGCTGCTAATTTATAGCAAGTACATTATTAGTCTTCTAAAATTGAAAGCAACAAGTTTTCACACTGTTTGTATTCTGTTTGAAATTCGAAAAAATTTTGAGATGGTGTAAAAAGGTGAGTGAGTTCACTTGTTAACAGCTACAAGAAGTGGACCTAACACAAGGTAGGTGCAAGGTAAGTGTATGATGAGTGTTTGTGGGTCACAGGTTTTAAAGAACTGCTGTTTTTTTTCAAAGGTAAGTGAACATTTTCTTACTCAAGTATTGAAATATTTTTGGGTTCTGGGTCCAGAAGATTACAGACTCGTTCATGATTCACAACTTCAAGATTACTTCGGAGATGCTATTCGTTTATTGTCAGAGGATACTAGTTGCTAGTTTGTGTGAAGCGGAATTTCTTCGAGAGCAAATGGATTTTAAAAACAGTACCAGTTTGACATTATAAGCAGATTATGAAGAATATTGAACTATATTAAAAGTGGAATGTACATTAAACTTTGAACAGTGCAATGAAATGCATGTTGGAGCATGCTCTCTCGCGCCAATGGATTTATTCAATTCTGCAAGAAAAATAAAGTTGTTTGGTTATGAAAGAGTTTCTTCACCCAATATGAGGTAAGTCTGGTGCATGTCGGAAGTTTTTTTTTTACACATTCAAGGTAGGTATTTTAGAATGGGGGGCCCCCCGGTTTGTTTTCATGATGCCTAACCATAGTGGATTCAATTTACAGAGGACGAGAAATTCTGATAACTTATTCTGAATAATTTGATGCTTTTTATCACCATCATTAGACCAATGTGTATGCCTCAATGCAGAGACGAAAAATGCGCCCTTTTGAAGGGTTTCAGCGTAAAGCAATCATTGTAGTTCCGTCAGATGAGGATTACAAAACCCGATGTAAAGAGGAAGAAAACCGAGATGATGTCCCCCCAGAGCATGCCGTTTTGGATATGAAAGGTAGGAAGGTGAACTTCCACCATGGAAATTTAGGTATTGTTAGGTGTTCACTTATTGTCAGTCTATTCCATCTTCTAAGTGTTCTCTTCAATGCTGTTACAGCCATACAGACTTCACACCCTTTCTCAGTCCTGTTCATCTCCTTTTGATCATCTTATTTTTTACTGTATGGCTGTAAGAGGCATTGAAGGATCTATGCATGGATGCAGGAAAGGAACTGTATTCTGCATAGATAACCATCGTCTGGCCCTGACTTTGTTGTCTTCTTTATTGCAGCCAACTTCTCAATTCCTCTTGCTGGCAATTACTTTGACTCAGTTGAGTACGTAGAGCTGGAAGAGGAAGAAGCTGGAAAGGTGATAGAAGAATATCGCAAAGAAGGCAGAGCTGCCGCACCACCACCTAAAAGATTCCGAGATGATAGACAGGGCTATGGTCGAGAGTATGGCCGTGGTCGCGGAGGTGGTGGCGGCGGTTATAACCGTTACGATGACCGTCGTGGCGGTCGTGGTTATAACCGTGGGTATGGTGGATATGGAGGTGGTGGTGGATACAACAGAGGTTATAACCGTGGAGGCGGCGGCGGCGGTGGCGGTGGTGGATACCGAGATAGAAATCAAGATTACAGAGGTTAGTAGAAAATATTTACACTATAGTTTCTCCCCGTTGAAAGAATGTTTTCAGAAATTATGTTAAACCTACATTATTTACACTTTTGTTATGTATAGGTGGATATCGTGGAGGTGGTGGATATGGAGGCGGACGTGGCAGCTGGAGCCGTGGAGGCAGCAGTGGTGGAGGCAGTAGTGGTGGTGGAGGTGGTTATATGGGTTATGGTAAAAAAGAACACAACCAATATCAACAATATAGGCAAAACCAGGTACGAACAATAGCATCAAATATCATAATAAGATGAGGTTATTACGATTTGTTTTTATTATTAGAGGAGCTCACACACACATAATCATTACATATTTGGAATTCACGTTTCCTAAATGGTAGGATGAAAATATTCGTAAAACACCGCAAAATTACGGCACGCTGTAATTATGGTGTTACGATGACAGATGTTTAATAATACTGTTCACACTGTGTGGTCTGTACCTTCTGTTGGTTTATGTACACGAAAAAACAATTTGTGTTAAATAAATCTTTCTCAACGAAGTTCCCTGTAGTTTTCATTTTAGGCAGGTTTTCTCTTTGATACTGATTTAAAACTAAAAAATGTTCTCTTGCAGGGAGGTGGATATAACAGTGGTAGTTACGGCAATCAAAGCAGTAGCAACTACAACCAGGGAAACTACAACCAAGGATACAATCAAGGATACAGCAGCAGTGGTAGTCAAAGCTACAATACCCCACATCAAAGCAGCAGCAGCAGCAGTGGTTATGGAAACCAGAGTTACAGCAACTACGGAAGTGGCAACCAACAGCAGCCACAAACACAGCAACAACAGACTTACGCCCAACAATACCAGCAATATGCTCAACAGTACCAACAGTATCAACAATACTATCAGCAAAATCCACAGTATGCCCAGCAGTATGCTCAGTATTACAGTAACTATAACCAAAACCAAGGAAACTACAATCAAAGTGGAGGTTATCAGTCGGGCAATCAGAGTTATGGTCAACAGGGCCAATCCAATACCAATGTTGCCAGCGGTTCAACTGGTTCAACTTGAAGAAGAAGAAGAAAACTGTTTCCAGATGAATTATAAATTTCTGTCCATTCCCCGGCACAGTGAAACAAAATCATGTAGTCGTTCAATGAAATGAAAATGTATAATTCCTTGTCATCCATTCTTGATATTTTAATGTAGACTTTATAAGTGGGTAGTTTTCTGTCTTGTATATTGAAAATTGCTCTCAGAGGTGTTGTATATACACCCCACAACACTAAGTTGTTGATTATTGCTGAACCCTGGTAAAGATATTAATTAAATACCGATATATGTAAACAGTTTGTAAAACATTTCAGAGGAAAAATAGCCATTACTCTTTCCCTTGCCCCTTGAAGTTTCAATTTGTATGTGCCAGTACACATTTTTAAGAATTTTAAGTCCGTTGAAGAGATCTGTTGTCAGTATTGTACTTGTTTTGACACTTAATGGATAGGGGACAATATATCTACTTCGTGAATTTTATTTTCTTCAACTGCCTGTACCTTTTTTTTTGATTAGGATTTAATAATAAATTTGTTGTATCTATAGTAAATAGTTGAGTTTATTTGATACATATCGTCATTAACTGGTGTTTTGCCATAAAACTATTCCTCCAAATTTGGTGAGTTTAGGTGGTTTTTCTGCACCTCCATTGACTTTTGTCAACAAGTGCACATGTGTTGGGTAACTCAATTGGCAAGAGACTTGTAGAAATCGCATCTTGTAAGTTGTAATAAACCACACATTGCATTCAACATAAACGAGCTGCTTTAGTGACCATGCATCAACACGGCTAGTTGATCTAAAAATTTGGTCCCTCCCTCGTGTTGGTAAAAAAAAAATTTGCATTTAAATAGCAAGAGAAAGTTGTATTGTGAACTAGGTTCAAACTAGTGTGGAATGGTGCACCAAAATTTAAGTGGGAAGAAAGGAAAGCAGGACTATATGTATGACTGAACTGGAGAGAGCACTTGCTTTAGTAATTTCACCCCCCCCCCCCATCTTTTGATTGTTTTCTCTGGGAAGAGTTGTGCATTTGAATATTATTTATACCCCTTAATCCATAACAAATTATTGACCCCCCTCCTCTAATTGTGCATTTTTTTTTCAAGGTTCCCTGTCTGATTTTGTTCTATGAAGCCACCTCAAACTCCTACAATGTGGTTGTGAAACAAAATGCAGATTTGCCAGTCTTTGAGACAGTTTTGTAGTAATCAGTGGTTTTAACAGCTTTTGTAATTGAAGTGCGCCCTCGTACATCAGAGAGAAATCATTGGCCAACTATGAATTGAAGACTCAAGATCTTTGATAGGTCAATTGATTTAACTTGACAAGTCATTACTGAATGTGCAAATGTTCAGTGTTTGAATAGCAATGATTATACGAAATGTCATACAATTTTTTTTTTTTTTTCATCTAAATCCCATCTTTGTTTTGCGACAGATTTTCAAGAAATTTGGGAGGGCATAGGTTTAAAAAAGAATGATTAAAATGTGACTAGTTTTCTGACCTCACAATAGGTAACACTTAGCTTGACTGATGGGAGTGTGTCTATTTAGTTGCATTTTAGCCCTTGAATATGACCATTTGAGTACCGACCTTGAAAATTATCAGTAGCTTTCATGTACAAATCTCTTCACTTGCAGAGAGTTGGAACCAAATCTGCACGTGCCAAATATAGTCTGGAACGAAACTCTGCATGTACCAAGAAGTGCTGCCTGAACGCTCAGCACGAACGGAAACCATGCCCTTAGTGGTAAACTTGGAACATGTATGGATTCATACCAGTATAACATGGCGATGCAGGGAAGTGTAGCTGGATATGGTCGGATGGTGTAATGAATGCAGAACATTGTGGTGACATATATTTGTTATAATAAATACCACAACATCAAATTGGTATGATTTCAATAAAATAATTATGATCTGCCATGTTTGGGTTAAATGATGAATGAGAGCGTAATTTTGGTACAAGCCGAGTGGATCCTGACTTCCAAACAAAGGATTAAAAATTTCACCATAACCCCTAAGGCCAGACTTTTATTATCCCTTGTTTTGCGAACCCGCCAAATGAACAGGAGCCCAAAATGAAATAAAAATAATATTTTATTTCAGCATAACTTCTCGTGCCCGCCGACTTGTAAGCGCAAAAAAATGCTAACAGAATATTATTTTTATCTTAATTTTTTTACTGCCCCCGCCGCATAACAAATCAAAGTTGCATTTTCGTGGGAGTATCATGATCAAAGTATCGAAATCTCGCGCAGATGAGAAACAAGGTTATACATGGAATAAAATTTTATTTCATTTCTTCTCTCTGATCAATGATCTCATTTACAATTCTTTGAGAATCACACAAATCTAATGGAAAAAAAATTTTTTTATTTTGTTTCCGCTCCTCAAAAATATTGCCTTATAAAAAAATTTATATGGAAAAATTTATGAAACTACGGTAATAGTGATGTGCATTGTGAGATGCATTTAATATGAAAATAAACTCGCATTGTTTACACTTAAAGACAAACACTACTACGACAGTTTGGTTCATTGACATAGCTGACACCATGCGAGGTTTATCTCCGAGCAGTGATAGACCAATAAGTTGCATGTCAATATGAAACATATTTAAATTCTAGTATAAACACATCTATTGGTGTTGGTGTGTAAGCAAACTATTCTACTATATTTTTTGTAGAAATTGGTTTTTCCCTGAAAAAAGCTGCTATACAACTAGTAAACTGTAAGAAGACGTATTTTCACTTGGTTTAAATTTCAGGCATATTCAGTGGGTTTTAAATTCAAGGTTTTATCATTTAGATGTGTTCTGTGCTAAATATTACATATTCATCGGGTTTTAATTTAGTGCATTTTCCAGTCGGCGAAATATTCAATCCTTTTACAGTAGTTCACAATACACACTTTCCATCCTTTCCTTTCAAAATTGATTGTTTACATGAGGTGCAATGGTAATAGTCATTATTTTGTAAACTGTTTTCATGAAGGGTGTACCAAACTCGTGCAGATCCATTATATGGCAACATTACTTTCAGAGAAAATACAGTACAGTGCAGAGAATTACACCAGAAATTTGCATTGTCATGTCGCATTAAAGGAAAAACGTCCATTACACATAAATTATTTTTGCAATTACAATGTATAAAATTCTTATTTTTATATTTAAATTTGTTTCTGAACTATTCATCTAATATTGTACAATTTGTCTTGTAAACCTAAGCAATTTCCCCATACAGCCACTGAGGGCAGTAATCCTTAGTCGTTGAGGCACATTTCTATTTACAAATTATATTAAATATATACGTAGTCTCTCACAGCCATACCGTAATCTTATTAGTTGGCCCACCTTGATAGTATAGAGAAAGAAGTCTCTAAAGACATAATTAGGAAAGCTTGACCTGGGTCAAGCACCTCAAGGTATTTTCATAGCATAAGTGCTAGTGAGCAGATATCTCACCCACTCTTTTTTTTCTCTCGTATATGCATTGTATTAGTGAGTTTTATTAGATTTCAGTACGTTTTTCAAAAATTGCATTGTCATCGTCATAATAAATTGGGCACCTGCCTAAGATCCCAAAATTAGGTGTTCTTATGGTCAAAATAAATAACATTTTAATGATTCCGTATAATGATTTTATGCAAATACAGTGTTTACATTTTTGTGTCCTGTTTCCATTTCAAAGTACCACTGTTTAAATTTTACAATCATATTATGTCCCAAAATAAAAAAAAGCAGTCCACTTACAAAGTAATGGAAATAATTCAGGTATGGTATTCTACTTTAAAAAAAACTTACTTGACAATGAAGCAATTTATCAACAGATTAAAACTTTCCTATTTTTCACTCGTGAGGGCTGAAACAGATGGTCATTCTATTACCCGTGGTACAAGATGCTGTACTTAACAGCTGTGTTATATTTCATCAATACAGACACCTTTAAGGATTCCCAAATAAATAAATAACATTTATGATAGCACCATAATATAAATATATTACACTAAACATGAATTTAATCATGTTAGAAAAGCACAAATCCAGTGATAAGTGTACCAACCAAACATTAAAAGAAATGTAGGTACCCCCCCCCCCTCTCCAGTAGTAAATATTGTGCATGCAGCTTATTTCTTTGACATTTTTGTAAATATCCTGTGACTAAATATTGGTGTACTCTGGTTGGTTATACAAGACAACAAAATTGTGGAAGCCATATAGAGGTGAATTCCCAAACACCATGTGTGTTCGTTCGTTCATCAAATACAAAATCCAGGCAGTTCACAACACATTTATTAGCGGTGTAACAGGACATTGTTTTTACTCTATAACTGCCCCTCGTCACCCTGACGGCATTTCTTCTACAGAACTGCTTATGTCATCCCCTCTCAACAGATGCACTGCCGCTCCCAAGGCCCAACTCACTTCTATGTCTTCAATCTTTTTTTGTAGCTGTTAAACAAATAGAATATATAATAAAAATCATAGAACACAGGGATAATATTGACTGATCTAAACACATATTTGGAGCACAAATGATGCTACTGGTTTTTCGCAGATCTGAATGCGTGTTGCATTTGTTTTTGTCAAGAGCTTGCGTCTCTCGGATGAATTCTTGCTTGAGGTTAAGTTCTCCAGTTTAAGTGTTTTGAGCCAGTATCTTTCTGTATGTGTGGCAGGAATGAATTAAATTAATGGTAACCGCATGTCACTGATAAATACTTCCAGGTGATGAAAGACCACGGTTGCATTATGGGTAATTGCAGATTTACCAGTGATGAAATTCTCAAACAGCCTTACTAACACAAGATCTCTTATAGTGGATGAAATGTAATCATGTGTTATACTCACCACTAACACTGAGTTGTCATGGTAACCAAAACCATGCCTTAAAAGTG